CCGTCGGGGCGGCTCTCGGCCACGCGATAGTAGCTCATTCCGCCAGTGGCGGGGCGGTTGCGAGCGGCCTGCGACTCGAAAGCTGGACCGTTGCGGACGTTGCCATCGGCGGACGCTGGAGCGAGACCTCCAACCTGCATCCCGCGCAGCTTGGCCGGAGGCGTCGTCAACGCGGGCCGATTGGCGCGGGCTGGGCCCCCCGCGCGAGCGGGGGGGGAGGCGAGCGCGGGCGCGCTGAAGGCTGCAAATTGCTGCGGGACGAAGATGAATCATGCATGCAACGCATGACGAACACACGCGCGCGAATGTCTGCGGCTGTAAGGGTATTTGTGGCCAGGGCACCCTTGGTGGAAGGGGCTGTCTCGGCGATCTCCAGCTTTTCGGCGGTCGTCGCAGCGGCGGGAAAAATGAAGGACAACTCAAGGAGATCCTGTCACAAATGAACCTTATTAGGCTCGAAGTGTCTTGTCATTATATATATATATATGCAACCTGTTCTTCTGTTCCTACGTATATTGATTTGATATGATACTGTTGACATGTTTTCCGTTACCCAATCCAAATTAATACGACGTGTGCGATGGGGGTGCCGAAGTGCCGGCGCACGCCCCGTGCGTCATCGTAAACGCCGTCTGGTTGTCCTCTGCCGCAATGAGGTTGGCGACGGGTGGTGGAGCAGGGCGAGGAGGACAACGAGGAGCATGTAGCACGATGTCATCATACACGATACTCTTGGCGGTAGGTGGCGGCGACGCGGGCAACGTCTGCGTTGAGAGCCGCGCACTCGGAGAAGAAACACGCGTGGGCGATGCCCGTCGCGCTGGTGGTTTGCGACGCTTATTCTTTGCCGCCAGCGCAGCGTCGCCGCGCGTGGCGCGCGCCGCCGCTTCCCAGAACTATAACAGAGGCAGGCGCTCAGTTCGCAGCGCGGCATCCAGCGCCGCGATCTCCGACTCGGTGGAAGTGCGGGAGACAACGCTCTGCTTCTTGCACGCGGAGTTCAGGGAGGGGCGCGTTGGGCAAGGGCGACGAAGACGCCAGCGGTGTATTTTGATGTGCTAACGCAGTCTGCAAACGAGGCATCCGCGAACAACATGATCGGAATTTTGTTCGACTCATCACTACTCCATCCGCGTGGGCAGTGAAGCCGCGTGGATTTGAAGTAGCAAGCCAGTCGATGAAATGTATTTTCGCAGGCGTAGTTCCACTCGGCGATTCCCCTGGCGAGCATGCAAGCCGGATGCGCGAAGTCAATTCTGCAGCAACGGGCCAGATACAAGATCTGCATGAGTACACTTGCAGCTTCTGATCCCAATGCACCGGCACCCTCAGAATCTGTCGGTGCACGATGTATCCTCTATGCCAGGAGCGTCAGCGCGTGGGACTGCGTCGTAGGTGAAGCCCGCGGCGTCTGGCGTGGGTTTCGCAACCGACGTGGGCGGTCGTGGTGCGGGTTTGTCAACCGGCGCCCTCGACCGAGGCTTGGTTGTTCTCGGCTTGGGCGATGATGATCGTTTCCGTCGGGCTCCAGGCATCCCCGGCTGCTAGGAGACGCATTCTAGACACCGTTCGATGCATTGATCAGTAAGACCAAGCATATCGTGCCGAATCCCGCGCACATTGGAAGCTGACATGTACTGCTTCCTGCCGTGTTCAGGAAGCATAGGTCGAATCTTAATAATGCGCTGGTCGACAACGCCCTGCGGTACTTCCCAAGTGTCTTGGCCACATCCCAAATAGGGATCGTATTTAGTGGGAGAACCCAGTTCGATACCACTGTGCCGTATCAGATCCCATCTCTTCTTGAGGTTGTCAGTGGGTCCTGCCATCTTGAAGTCATCGACATAAACAGACGGAATGAGATCGAGCTTGCCATGTTACCACGCGCGCTCCCAGCTGGGAGCGGGGATGAAGCCCGCCAAGTCGAGACTGGCACGGCAGTGTCGTTCCCAGAAGACAGCTGCTAGCGGATGGCCATTCAGAGCAAGTCTGAGCTGACGCACGGGATCCCTGTACTTTGCCCAAGAGGATGGCTGTCTCCATTTGGGTCGTCTGATCCACGTATCCACTGGGTCAATGCGACCGTCGCCATGCAGCAGTGCCTGCGCGGCTCGACGTTGTTTCGAAGCTGCGAATAACGTCGAGCTTGTCCACTGGAACAGGGATTGCAATGACGTCGCCGGAAAGTCGAAATAACTGAGCCCGCGGTGTACGGATGTGGCGTAGGATAGCCTCACCGCGCTGTTCCCAATAGTCAGGCTCCGGGGCCGGAGCCGAAGGCCCTTGTGCCTCTTGAGGCGGCCCCCCAGAGCCGAGAGCCTGAGAGTGTTCTGGTGTAGTAGGAATCGAGAGACTAGAGTCATCCCATTCTGCTGGGTACAGGAGAGGTGGATCATCCTGTGCAGGGGCGCCCAAAGGTCGAAAGGTTTGGAACGAGATCAACTCGTGTCTCTCAGGGTTGTGGCGTCGCAATAGACCTTCTCGGACAGGGAAAACCAGTCTCATCAGGAACCGCAATGCTTTTGACACGATGAACGTGGCAGTGTTCCTCGTCAGGGTTCACGGCATAGGTAGCAGCGTCGATGACGAGGTAGTCGCCAGGCCAGCGCCCACCAGAGTGGAGGTGGTAAAACATGAGCAAACCTTCTCGAGCAGTCACGTCAAACTTCGCCGCGGACTTGTCGAGGTCCGGGTTGAGGCATTTCCAAAAGATACGAGTACCAAATGGAATCAGATGTCCTTTGAACGATTCTCCAAAGTAAACTTCGTGTGAAGAGAAGTCGGTATATGCATCCACAATTGCAGCGACTCCACGACGCGGTCGGGTAGTGAAGTCGCGGCCACAACACCATGCCTGCATAGCCTCTTTCCATCATTCATAACCAAGTCCTGAACTGTGGAATACAATTCGTGCGCCTTGCATGACAGACTTAACCGCGCGCTCGACCATGCCATTGGTCTGTGCCGGTGTGGCGTGCTGGTATCGCGTCGCCATCCCAACTTTCGGCATGGCCACGTGACTGCCAAAGCGGGCATTCACCATCGAGGATGACACGGAGGAGACAGCCTTGGTCAAGAGGGCCCAAGCGTGCGACTACACGAGCATCTTCACGTTAGGCAACCACTTCTTGGATCTTCACAAGAGTTCTCGCTCGCAGGCTCCATCTGGCGGCGGTTCCGCTGGGCCTGGCAGTGCGACAGGCAACTGACTCACGAAGGGTGCCGACGCGGACGGGTGGCCGCGCCTCTCGACATGTTCATCTGTCGCTGGTATGTCCATCGCATCAATGCCACCTACCAATACCTACAGCGAGGATCTTTCAACGGGCGCGGAGGTGACCGATGATGAAGACACGATTGGGCTGGTGGTTCCTGTCGATGGCCGAGATCAAGTGGATAGAGCTCCTACCACGAACGGGACTCCTGCAGGCTTCCTGGCGCCCCTCGACCACAAGAGTAAGCGGAGGAAGGACTGCGTCAAGCAGAGCCGCAAAGAAAAAGGCACGCCTAAGCCGATGAAAGGCAGGCGTGACACACCGGGAACTCCAGCCAAGGCAACCCCCTATGAAGGCGAAGGCGAACAACGTCCAAGGCTGCAAAGGCGAATGACAATGAACCCCTCGCTAGGGCTTGTCTCGCTGGGCCGACTGAGGGCCCCACGCCTAGCATCGAACTGACTGCTTTCACAGGCTCTGGGCAGCGCGTTCATTGGCCCGACTGCAGTGTCAGACATGACGGCCCTTGCTAGCAAGATCCATGGCAATCAGTTGTCAAAATCGCAGTGCTTGGAGCTAAAGGCGAATGTGCAGTCGAAGCCGTGAGGGCTTCTAGTCGGAGGCAAGTGTTGGGAATGTGAGGGGTGCAGTACAGGTAAGGGGGGATGGGCTAGTACGGCTCAGGCACGTGTGTGTGTGTGTGTGTCAGATACGCCGTCGGGGCGCTTGTACTGAATTGGGCACGTGCGTAACGACCGAGCCGACACTGCTCTCGCGATCCACAGGGCATGGGGTTGCCGCTGAGAAACAACGGGTGTGCATCGGCTGGCATTGAGCAGTGAGCCAGGTAGAGAGCGAGGAAGGAGGATGAGGAGGAGGCGAAAGCGGAGAGGAAGTGGGAGGTGGAGGAGGAGAGGGAGAGGGAGGGAGGGAGGAGAAGAGGGAGAGAGAGTAGGATGAGGAAGGAGGGGGTCAGGACCCCTTCAAGCGATCAACAGAAACGGCAACCGATCCTCTCGGAGGGGCCATCCCCCCCTCAGCGTAGGGCCCGTCCTCCTGCTGCTACTGCTCCGCCTCCTCTTCATCTTCCTCCTCATCCACCTCCTCATCATCCGCCGCGTCCTCCTGAATCCTCTCGCCCATCGTCCCTCCTCCTCTTCATCCTCCCACCTCTGATCCTCCTCCCACCTCTCATCCCCTCAGCTTGCTCATACTCCTCACCGTCGGGACGCGCAGGAAGCATGCGGGGTCTCAATAAGCGGTTGCCCAACATTTCTGGCACCCCAGAGGTCCCGACAAGGCCATGATTAGCAGGACGCTTTTCGGCATTCAGTCGGCCTGGTCGTGGGTGGGCTTTTAGGGGCTCTGGGCATGCACTTCGAGCTAAGAGGAACGTCTGGTTCTCGCTCCTCGTCGTCCTGGTCATCTGGGTCATCCTCGTCGTCGTCCTCCTCCTCCGAATCTAGCTTTCCATGGACCCCGAGGATGTTCAGGCTACCCCTCTGATTATGCTCCCACGGTTTAGGTGCCGTATCTGCCAGTCAACTCGCATTTGACAATCGTGAGCTCCCCTACGCACCATTGCGCTCCCCTGTGCACCATTGGCCTACGCTCCCGCATGCGCCCCCCTACGCTCCCCCTCTTCACAACCCTTCTCCGTGACTCCAAAGTGGGCTCCTCTTCACAACCCTTCTCCGTGGCCAGATCGGCCCTGGCGTTCGTGCTTGGGTCAGCGGCAAGTTTGGCCTGCGCTCTGAGCTCTCGCTGCTTCGAGTGAACGGCGCTATGGCGCCGAAGGGGGTCACGATGAAGAAACCTGCTCAGTGGGTGGAGAGCCTCGAGTATGGCCCGATGACGAAACCAGCCGCTGCTCCTGTCCACGCGCCGTCCATCTACGGAGGGGCGGAGGTGACAGATCTACCCGACGGCACGTTAGACATTCGCCAGGTCAGCCGTGCCCAACGGCGCGTGTTCCACCTCAATCGCCACAGCATTGACCCGAAGACCTTGGAGCGCTACGACTTCGCGAACAGCAAAGAGTGCCAGGTCCCCGGTACGACAAATGATATTAGCAGCATCATCAACAGCTGCGTGGCGCGTGCGAGCGACTGGACGGCTGGGCCGACGATCAAGGAGCGCAGTGGCAAGAAGGTGCTGACGCAGACGCGGGAGGACGAGGACACCCAGAGGGCCCAGGGCTACTTCGAGAAGGCGTTCATCGGGCTAGTCTACCACGGGAATGAAGGGCTTTTCAAGACAGCCAGGGCCGCTGGAGAGTGCGAGAACTACTCTGAGACTGGCAGGTGGTACACTACGGGCCACTCTGTGAAGCGCAGCCAGAAGCGCACGAGGGAGCTCCACGGGACCATCTTGATGGACGCAGCCTCGGAGAAGACCTTCAACCGCGCCATGCTCGAGAGGATGGCCGAGATCGGCGACGAGGTCGGCTCCGAGAAGTGGTTTCGCACCGCGGTCAAAGACAGCAGCAAGGCCGAGCAGAAGCGCATCCAGACGGCCGCCCACGCTTCGCAGGACGGCATGCAGATGCTCCAGGCCACGGTTTCCTCATCGTCCCTCCTCCTCCTCCTCCTCCTCCTCCTCCTCCCCTCCGCCTCCTCCTCCTCCTACTCCTCTTCAGTATCCTGCTCCTCATACTCCGCCTCCTTGTGGCTCTACTTCTAGTCTTACTCGTAGTCCTGCGCCTACTCCTACGTGGTGTTTGACCAGAAATTGGTCGACAAGTTTACGAACGGGCCTTCTTAGGGCGCGTGTAACTAGGGCCGTGAATGACCAACCAACCATTGCTGCACTTAACGGCCTCTAAGTGCAGCAAGTAGTTTGGCCTTGCTTCCCCGCCAGATGTTGCTTTCCATCGGTTTCCTCCTCCTCCTCCTCCTCCTCCTCCTCCTCCTCCCCTTCCTCCTCCTTAGAGTAGTGAATGGCCAAGCAACCATTGCTGCGTTTAGCGGCATCTAAGTGCAGCAAGTAGCGTGGCCATGCTTCCCCGCCATATGGTGCTTCTCATAGGTTCCCCCCCATCCTCCTCCCCGTCCTCCTCCTCCTCCTCAGGGCCGTGAATAGCCCAACGAACATTGCTGCACCTAGCTGCCTCCAAATGCAACACATAGTTTGGCCATGGTTTCCCGCCATAGGTTGGTTTCCATCGGTCTCCTCCTCCTCCTCCTCATCCTCCTCGTCCTCCTCCTCCTCGTCCTCCTCCTCCGCCTCCGCCTCCTCCTCCTCCTCCTGCTCCTCCTCCTCCTCCTCCTCCTCCTCCTCCTCCTCCTCCTCCCTCCCCCCCTCCTCCTCCTCATCAGCATCCGCCGTCTCCTCCTCCGTCCCCTCATATCATCCTCCCCCGCGCTTCGAGGAGTGCTTCGGCAACGTGACGCGGGTCACGATGGGGATCAAGCGCGTCGCGAGCCAGATGACGGCTTCAGGAAACCCCAGGTGGAGTTCAGGAGGCCACAGGAGGCCCCAGGAGGTCCCCAGCAGGCCCCAGGAGGCACCGGGAGGCCCCCGCAACTCGGAGCTCTGAGACGCCGCGCTCGAGGTGGTCCGGCCCGTTTCGCCTGAGACTTCCTCGCAGCACGTTTCGCCCGAGACACCGGCCCGTCTCGCCTGAGACATCCTTGCAACTCTGAGCTCTGAGATGCCGTGCGCAAATTGGTCCGGCCCGTTTCGCACAAGACATTCTCGCAACTCTGAGCTCCCAGATGCCGCGCAAGAGGTGGGGGCCAGAAGACCACATGTTACATATCCCCCCTGGGACCCTGGGACCCCCAGGAGGCCCCAGAGAGCTTCAGGAAGCCGCAGGACGCCCAGGACAGGCCCCAGGGGTCCGCAGGAGATTCCCAGGAGGCTCCCAGGAGGCCCCAGGAGGCCCCCTATCAGAACGTGTCAAGTTAATACAAATCCGGTGTCGATTCGTCGATTTTTCCTGCTCTTGTGCCCCCCCCCCCCGCATTTGGGGGGCCCCGACGGCCACATGTTAGATATCCCCCTGGGAGCCCCAAGAGGCTTCAGGAAGCCCCAGGTGGGGTCCAGGGGGCTGGCTTCTCGAGCGGGGACCTCGTGGCCAAAGGTATTGGCATCTGCAAGACCGTCGCCCCCTCGCAAGATGCGGTGGAGGCGCTCATCATGAAGGCGCATACGGAGGTATCAACAGAGGGTGCGAGGTCGGCTCTGAAGGCAGCCCACAGCCATACAAGAACCTGCTCGACTTCTACAGCGAGCTGGTGGCGATCCAGAAGCACAGGATCAAATCCAACAAGGTCCTCAAAGCGTCGGGTCCAGCGTAGGGCCGCTAGCACGACTGATTATCACATTCATGTTGGCGATCGCGCCTGGCCCGCCTACCGTTCAGCGCAGAGATAAGTAGCGTACGTGCTGTTTGCAGTGTTGTGCCTTTTTGCTGGCGCCGACGAACCAGGCTTGGGTATACGTTGCTCGATCTGTGCACGGAATGCACTTAAGTTTTCATTATACATGTATTTAGCTTTGGAGGTCCATTGGGGATGTATTGTGGATTTTGAAAATCTCCAACGGATCCCAAATGCGCATTGGAGATTATTTGGAGATGTGCAAGGTCCCCAGGGGATCTACAATCAACATCCAATCGCAATGAACCCACAACCTCGCTTCACTGTATGACCATCAACGCTTAAGCATATCGTATCATATACCGATTGGGATCACGAGTTTGTGGTTGGTAAGTTGGCCCTGCTAGCAAGCTGTGCGATGACGCTCGTGCGGGAGATTGGCCTGCGTTGATCAGCGCGAGACGCTGAACGCAGAAGGTTGAATGGGGAAAAGGTTGACGCGACTAAAAACATAGTTGGTCCACTTCCAGCTGAATCCTCCTCTACTCTCCCTGCTCATGCTGTTCCTCCTGGTCACGCCCGCGCTCGTGCTCCCCATCCTCATCCTCCAACCGTTGGGGGGTCGTGGGGTATCTGGGCCCCGACCCGTTGCTCTTGAGCGTCGGCCCTGGGCGTTCATCTGCGCATCGAGCCGAGCACTGTGGGGGGAGGGGAGAAGGGGGAGAAAACGACAAAGAAGAGGAGGAAAGGGAAACGGAAGAAGAGGATGAGGAGGCACCAGAACCGACCCCCCCCCCAGAGGCGGATGAAGGAATCGGTCCCAGCGCAGGGGGCGGGGGTCGTGCAATAGGGCCTGTGGTGCCGAGGAAAGGTCAGGGGCATACGCTTGTGATGAGTATGCAGAGTTAGCGCTTTCAGACCATACAGCTAGTTGGGGCCGTAAGCTTGACTGATGCTTGGGGGGAGGAGGAAGGGAGGAGGAGAAGGTTTACCCAGCAGAGGTCTGGCCACTGGGGCCACCTTGAAACGGGCCCGAAACCTAGCGGGGAGAAACTGGAGCCTTCCCAGCTCCGTGCAGCTGTCCCAAGAGGGGCCAATGAACAACAATCCTATCCTCATTCCCGTGCTTGGGGTGCTGGCTCTGCAGAAATCGGCGCAACTTGTGCTGTGCTGCCGCATTGCGCTTCCACCCGGGGATCCCAAAACTGGGACAAACCTTGCCGAGGCCCAGTGGTTTCGTGAAAGCGTACTGGCAGCACTTCTTGCAGAACAACAAGGTGTCACCCACCTCGGCCTCAGGCCGCGGGGTGAGCTCACACCACTCAATATCGTGTGTGTGGGCGAATTCGGTCACACACTGAAAGCTGGGCGGCACATCGCTCTGCCTACAGTCCCGCTGGTCCAGGGAACTGTGGGGGGGGGAAAGAGGAGGGGGGAGGGGGAATCTGAGTAGGAGGATTAGGAACAGGCCGATATTGAAATAACCTGGAATAGTTTGATTCCGGTTGTTTCAAGTGTAGGAGGGGAGGAGGAAACGCATGAGGATGAGTACGAGCAGGAGGAGGGACGGATGGCAGGAGAAAAAAAACGAGGAAGGAGGAGGGAGATGAGGAAGACAGGGAGAAGAGGAGCGATGAGGAGGACGGATGGGGTAGAGCAGGATGGAGGAGGGGGAGAAGGAGAATAACTCCTCATTCCATGTTTGACTGGGCAGATCTCGAATTTAACGCCCACTCGTCCCAGACCTTCTCTATTCTGGGGGCCCCTGGAGTGCCCCAATAAGCCGCAATCCACCTTATGGCTGACGTACGAAGCCGAGAACATGACAAACGACAAAAAACGCTTGTTACTTCCAGGCCTTCGATTTGACAACCCCTACGTGTGCAAAACTCTGAGTGTACAGACCCAAACATGAAGCCCAAGGGCAACTATCACTACACCCATAACCCTAGAAAACTGAGGTGATGATGGTGATGGTGACAACGATAACGTCAATGTAGGCGCAAGGGTGCCTCGTTCATTTCAACACGCGCGTGCACAACACATGCTTACATTGTAAAAAGGGATGGTCGGCAGCAACGGAAACGTCGCAATGAGGCACAGCATGGCCACGATCAAGTAGAACAGCAAATGCAATTCGATAGTGAGTTCGCATTCGGGTTATGCAAACGCTGGGCTTGGTGATATGTTTCGTGTATACAGTTGCAAGAATTGGCACCGTCCGTTTATGCAAGTGACGTCGCGATGCTTACAAATATTGGGCAAGCGATTGGCCATATACCGTCTTCAATGAAAGCGTTGGCTGGACTTAGGCATCAAGAAAAATGCAAAGTCCATGCTTCGGGCCGATAATATCGAACTCAACTTCAAAATGTTTGGCACGCGCAAAGGTAAATCCTGTGATATCCTGGAAGCGTTCTGGGGACAAGTCGTTCTGAGGCGCGACCCACGTATCCGACGCCATCCAATCATTGAGCGTGAAAACTGGATGCGGCGGGCGGTGCCCTTGATGATTCACGGGGACGCGGTCCCTGTGACAACGGTGGGGAAAAGAGGGACTGAGTCTTTAGATTGTTGGACGTGGCAATCTGCCCTTGCAACTGGTAAAACGCTCGCTGTTGAGATTCTGATGACTGGTGTTTTCGATCAAAACATTTAACGGTGTTTTAGGCCTCACGGATGCGACAGATGTTGTAAGGAAACGAACTTGTTGGAGCGACAATGTGATGGTCGACGGTTCATGGCCTGCCATACGTTGGGATGATGAGGGATTAACAAATAGAAGCGATGCGATGTTGAGAGGATGCCCTCTCAATCCGGCAGAGGAGCCCTATTTCGGTGTAGCCTAGAGTATAAAAGGTGATCTAGTGTGGAACGACAGAGATTTGAAAATGAACGTCATGCAGCTGATGATTGTGTGATTATTGCCAGTGTAGCAAAGCAGCAGCCAATCGAGTTCATTGGCCATCCGATTCCGCACCAGCTGCGCCTTGGAAAAAATGATTCGTGACAAACGTCAATGGCGACATGAATACGGAGAGGCCATGCACATGATATCCAAAATGATTCAGCACCTGTCAATTGAGAATGTTGAGGCTGACGAACTGCATGTGTTACACTTGGGCGTGTGCCGCTACAATTTAAGTTCAGTTGTTTGGGTGCTGGTATTTGGCATGCTCGGCGGTCCACCAGCTGAGAATATGAAACTTGTACGGCGAGACACCGTAGAAGAGCAGAAACAAAACACAGCTCAAGGCCAATTGTCATCAATTGGCATCAATACGTTTGTAGACCCAAAGAAACACTAACGTCGTACCCGAGCTTACAAAGAAATGGAGGCGAAGTCAAGCATTTGATTTCTCCAATGGTAGAAACGTGGCAGAAACATACAACTGATTCCGGACGCGACATGCTCATTGACCGTGGATTGCGGAATTCAGATGCGATCGCAACCATATTGGATTTGAGTGCGCACGATGCCTTCTTGCCAAATCCAGATGCCACGCGCCTTGCCGCAGAGGCCGCTACGGTTTCGTTGACATGCGCAGAGTTGGGTCACATCGCAGATGCAGGCAACATGATGTTGTGGTCTGCAGTTCCGAAGCTGCACTGGTTGTGGCAGATTGCGTCGCGCGCAAAACACCTCAACCCAAGACGGGTTGCACATTGGATGGGTGAAGATTTCGTCAAGCACATGAAAACGTTAGCCTTCTCATGCGCGGATGGCACAGCTTTGCAAAAAGGTGCCAGCATCGCTGATGGGCAAATATGTGTGGGCATTGAAGCTCGAGAGCCTCGTGGCCAATCACACAGCCTGATGATATACGCTTCATCTACATACACCCTCCTGCCCATCCACTCCCTCCATCCTCATCCTCCTCGCCATCGTCCTCCTCGCTTCCATGGTGTTTCGAATATGTTGAACCCGCGCCCCCCTGATCGTTATCAGTATTTCTCTGGTGTCTTTTATCTAGAAAGGATGAGGACAAGCGGGCAAAACGCGTGACGAGAAGAGAAGAGGCCCGTCCAGGGGCAAGAAACAAGGAAATCTGCGGCCCCTCCAAGAGGCTTTCCTTGACCAGGCATCCGAACAATGAGCACGCCAGCATGGTCAGCAAGCTGAGGCTGAACAACGACTGGCACTAGGCACAAAAAAGTGGATCGCTTTTGGCACCAGGGGGGCACGATTTGTCCGCCCCATTGGTGCCGACAGGATGCACCAGCAAACTGTCAGAACGGAGGAGGAGAGGAAGAGGAGGAGGAGGAGGGGAGGAACGGGACGAGTCCAGCTAAACGCCAGGAACAGCGTTCAAGCCAACCTGCAATAGGCGAGCCATCGCGCGCACCTAGGAATGGAGCACTGGGCGGTGGGGCAGGCTTATTTACCGCAGAGGTCGTCGCCCGACTGCTCGGCAGTTTGGGCGCCCACATATCCGCTACACCGCGAGCGAAGCGAGAGAAAACAAGGAGAGAGGCAGGCGGCAGCGGACAACAATGATACAAACATGTCCCGGGTGCGTATCATAGCGAGGCGGGCTGGGCAACCCGGGATATCAAATACAACTAATCAGATGAAGCGAGCGGCGCACCGAATTACGACCGAGCAAAGCAGAGGCGGAGACCCCCGGGAGCACGCCCAAAAACAGGGGAGGAGGAAATTCCGTACAAAACGACAGTTTTGTACGGAATTTCCCCTTTCCATGTTTTGGCCCCCGCCCTCGGGGGGGGAGGAAAGAGAAACAAGAAACAGACGAAAGAAGCAAGGCGAAAGCTACTAGCCAGCCTTCCCGACGGGGCCTCTTTAAAACGATCCTGACGACATGCTGGACGCGTGAGTGTCCAGAGATCGCGTCTCGGACGTACCCTCGGAACGCGTCGGCCCCATCAGCGGCCCGGAGGCCGTGTCGGACAGCGCTGTGCGTGTTATATGATGCGAATACCCCGATCGCCCGGAGCGCAGCGGCCGTGGACCTGGCGTTGCCGTCCCTGCAGCGCGTGGGGAGAGAGTGCTCGTGGGGGCGAATGCCTACGAAATCGCTGAGACACTCCTCCGCAGGCGGCCCGTTGAGTCCGAGACACTGGCGGCATAGGGTATGTAATGAGGGACCAAGAACGTAATGTTGTATACTATCTTCCCCACGCGGCCACTTGAAGAGACACCCTCCTGTCCTGCCGAAGCGGCGGGCGGTGGTCCAACCATTCCAAGCAATGCGAATTTGACACGCTCGGACACGGGGGGGGAGAAGGGGGGAGGCGAGGGGAAGAATGTTGAGCCACCTGACTGGGCGGCGGCCGGGCAAAACGTTGAGCTGCCATTTGCCCTATCGTTTCCTTTTGTGCCGTGCAGCAGAGGGTGGGGAGACAGCGTTAAAACACTAGCAGCCTGCGCTCGCCACCCGCTCCGTTCCTGAGCCGCAGGGCTTGCAGGGTCGAGGAGAGAGGGCACCGCGTGCACTTGCCGCTCAGCTGCTGTCAGCTCAGTGGTGGCGTCGCGGAGCGAGAGGAAGAAGTTCGGGTCGATGCACTGCTGGAAATGCCCCGCCCGGGTCACATTCTTGGCGTCGCGGCTCAGCTGGTGGAGCTGGCGAGCCCACGCTCGTATCCGGGGACCGCCGTGCGCGGCGCTCTCGAACCTGACGACCCTGGCCCTCGCCGCACGGACGGCGGAGTGGACGTCGGGGAAGCCCTCGATTTCAGGTGTTTCAAAGCATCTACGGAGAATCAATCCATAGGGCCGCGGAACAGTGCCCCGCACGATTGCAGCTCGATCGCGTCACGGGAGCACGGCAGCGGGTCGAGCTGCGCGACGAACATGACGACTGAGCTCACGAGAACCTGGTAGGCCACGAAGGTGTTGAGAAGGCCAGCGCCCAGTTGCCCCCAGAGCACGGCCCTGTCGACGAATTTCTTGCAGGGGGCATCCCATGAGCTAGTGCCGCGGCCAGGGCCGACGACCATGCCGAGGTACTTCGCCTTGTCCTGGATCAGGAGGACCCCCCATACAGGGGCTTCCCTGATGAGCCGGCGACGCGCTTCATCGCGTACGTACCTAAAGAGCGGCACGAGGATGGCCTTGTCGGCATTTAGCCGTAAGCCAGAGATGCGCTCATACTCAAGGCACATGTCCTGAACGGCGCCGAAGTGCTGGAATATACAAGAATGCACCAAGGCTGTGTCGTCGACGCCGCCGCGAACAGCAGCGGTGACAGGGGGCATCCTTGGCGGACGCCCCGTGCCAGGCCGAAGCCAGCGCGTCGCGGGCCGCCCAGGGCGATGGAGCACGAGTTGCGGTAGTACAGGCAGACGATAAAGTTGACCAGCGACGCTGGCCAGCGGAGCTTGCGGAACACCGCGAACGGCACGTCGTGCTCTACGGACGGGAACGCGACGGCGAAGTCGAAGAACAGCGCCCCGCCCTCGCCGGATGTGCACGTGCTTGTCGCCATGGCCTCCTCGATGTCAACCAGATTGGCTAGCACGCTACGCCCTGCGCTGAAGCCCCTCTGGGTGTCGACAATCTTCGGGCCCAGGACAGGCTCCACGAGATATCGAACAGCGCTCGCCAGAAGACGATTGTCGGTGTTGGTCACGTTCAACGGCCTCGTGTTATCCGCTGCGAAATAACCTTCCCCCGCGGCCGTGGTGCCCGAAGATTTTTGGGCAGCAGAAAAAGCAAGCTCGCATTAAAATCTGGCCACTCCTCGTCGATGGCCGCGCAGCCAGAGTCGTCCATCAGCACGCGCACTGCGTCGAAGAGAACCGTGGTGGACAGCTTGACGCAACGTCTCCGAGCGAGGAAACTGATGCCATCGGGGCCTGGGGAGGAATTGCTCGAATGTTGCATGGCGCGCCGCATGCGGCGCCTGCGGGGGCGGACAAGCGCAGGAGCCTCACCGACAGTATCCCCATCGCCCCCGTCGCCAGCGACCTCGTTGAGCCACTCCTCGAGGAGTGCGTGGTCGGTGCCCTTCGCGCGGAAAAACTCATCCAATGCCTCCTGAGTTCCGCGGCCATCTCGGCGGCGCCCGTCAGGATCTGGCCATTTCTGGCCAGCACAGCCGACATGCAACCAACTCTACCAGGAGCGAGTCGGAAGATCAGGCGCAGGTTCTTCTGCCTCGCCTGAGAGGCCCTGGCAGAATTAGCACTGAGATGGTCGGCGCGCGATTTGTTGAGCTCGTCAAGGGCGTGCTCTCTGGCCAACTCGATCGCGTGATCCCTGACAGGCCGAAGGCGAATTGTGAGAATGCCCCAGATGTCGTAAGGATAGACCATCAGCTCGGCCAGGCGAGGGCAACGCTCGATGCAAGATGAATGGCCCCCCCATCATCGGCATCTCAGTATCTCTCTGGCGCGCCGAAAAAATTCGCCGGCCCAGCGGGCCAGAGGCGTGCTAAGATCTCCGGTAACTGGTTAGCAATAATTCTAGTTCGCGCGCGCGGGGCGGCCCCTGGGGGCCCCCCGGCGAAAAGTGCCCCGCCCGAAGCCCGGGAGCTATGACTCAAAGATGGCGCCCCTCCTGGGCGCGGCCTTCCACGCCCCCCGGAGCGCGCCAAGAGGGCCAAAAGAGGCCCCCAAGACGGTCCAAGAGGGCTCCGAATCACCGGACGATCGGCCCAAGACGCCCAACACGGCGTAAAGACGGCCCAAGAGGCCTCCAAGACGTCCCAAGAGAACCCCGACCCTTCCCAAGAGAGCCCGAAGAGGCAAAAACCAATGATTGTCCTCAGGTTTTTGTCTGGCAGGGCTCCATTCCCAACATTTTGAGCAAAGAAATCTGTCTCGAAGAATGCGGCACGGCAGGCGCAGCTCGGCCGGCCGCGGAAGCAGCCGGAGGCGTGGCCACATGGCGGTCTGTGCTTAGCAAGACGGCCACCACAAAACTGCTTCGAGGCTGAAGGACAGTGAGAAGCGCACTATCATGGAGAAGGCAGGCCACGGGTGCACTTGAGAAAGATCAAAAGCCATGGAGCGGCCCAGACAATAACGTGCAAGCACTCCTATGTCTGGTAGGGCTCCATTCCCAACATTTTGAGCAGAGAAATCTGTCTCGAAGAACGCGGCGCGGCAGGCGCAGCTCGGCCGGCCGCGGAAGCAGCCGGAGGCGCGGCCACATGGCGGTCTGTGCTTAGCAAGACGGCCACCACAAAACATCCCAAATCACTTCCCAAAACAAGAAGGTGTTCTCTGATGACTGGCAGCAATGAGAGCGGCGGCGAGGCGCGGCACAAACCTACAGGATAGGGTTCGGCTACTTTTGTCCACGGGACGCCTCTGCTGGGGCGTGGGCCGCTCAACTCGATGCGCGGGCGGCCGCTGCAAAACAAAAAAATCCTTTACCACATCAGAGTCGGTTGCGCAGGGGCCCTAGACACGCATCGCTAACATTCCCGAACAGAAAATGGGTCCTGTTGCGCCATCGCGCCCCGTAGCTGCAAAAATCTAGTGAGACCTGAGCGGCAGCGCGTTGAGCCCGCCGCCGCAACGCAGGAATATTCCACATCATGCTGCTGTCAGGGTTTTCTAAAAACCAAGGTATCTGGCAAACATCTAGCACACGAATAATACGGAGAGTTGCCCTGAGCAGCTTGTTGCCGCGCCGCAGCGCGGCGCGATCATTCGCACTGAAATCTGACCTGTCTGTCGCTCCCCAGGGCTGCGACGAGGTTCTGATGAAACCGGTTCGCATTCTTGCTATCGAAAAACTGGTGCACTCCGTTTCGTTCGCTGCGCCAGGAATCAAACCGTTCTTGGCGTCCTCTTCCCGGCGGCGAAGCACGGCATGATCGGTGAGATCCAGGCTCTGACTGTAACGAAGGTCCCAGAGTCGCGCAAGATAGCCACGGCGCGCAAGCGCCTTCCCGACGCCGCCCTCGCCACAGAACAGGTCGGCGAAGTACTGGCGCTGACTCGCGGCGCCACAAAGGGCAGGGCGGCCGCGCGGCCGAAGAAGAGCGCCTCGAGTTGCTGGTCCGCTTTTCGGAAAGCAGCCACCTGCCAGGGAAGCAGGCGGGCGGCGGCTTGGCGGCGTTCTCGTACCTCTTCAGCGAGCTCTCGCATTGCCACCCGCCTCGCTTTTTCGGCTCCATGTGATCGCGGTGGCGGTTCTGTAGGTCCAGCGAGGCCCCCGAGTGTCGGCACTGGTACAACACCAAGCTGCCGAGCTGGAGCCTCGTCCTCGTAATGTTGAACTGAGCGACCAGCTCGGGGTAGCTGTGCGCGAAGAGCAAGGACTCTGGAGGGCCCGGGGCCAGCGCCGCGATCACCCGCGGCAGCCACGGGAAAAGCTTGTTGGTGAGGCTGATCCCCTCGCCTTGCATTTGGTTCTTGCGGGTGGCCGCCCTCGACTGCGGGAACAGCAGCACCCCCCAGTCGTTCGAGCCCCCCTCTACTGGCTGGATGAGATCCTGGCGCTGGATCGCGAGCGGCTCGCCTGGGCGGTGGTGCGTCACGATCATCCACAGAATGTGCAAACCCATGAGCCAGTATCCCCGGCAGCAGAGGTCCCAGACGACCGCTGACCATATCACGCGGACGACCGGGTTCCTCGAGCGCCGCCCACATCTCCGGCGCCACCCCTTCAAACATCGCCAAGCCCGAGGGAGGCGCGATCCCCCCAGCTTGCCATGCTGGGGCTGGAAATGTAGCAGCGCCGACAGCAACACGTCGCCTTTGTTCGAGCGGTGGCTCGACTCGTATAGCTCGTTCATGTAGTGCACGAGCGCGTCGTCCACCTCGCTGTCCACGACGAGCTGGCGCTTCCCGGCGGCGTCGATGAAGGCCTCGAGCTCCACCTGGTACCGCGTCTCCGTGCCCAGCCTCACCGCCGAGCGCTCCAGCAGCGCCAGCCCCGCCAGAGTGGGCGACGCCTTGGCCTGGGCGACTGCCCGAGCGCGATGCCGGGTTGTCTGGCGGAGCTGCCGGGTGCGAGCTGCCTCCGCCTCGTTGGCCACGGTCGTGGCGTCGCTCTCGCCCTCGCTGTCGCCCGTCGGGCTGCAGTTCGCCTCCAGGTCGCGCGCCGCGGCCCTCGAGGCGGGCGGGGCCAGGGTGAGCCGCTGCCGCATGCCATCCCGGGGCGCCCCCAGCGCCCGCGCCCGGCTGGCTGGCACCAGTGGCTCGCTCGGCAGGCCCTCCGGCCCCGGCGACAGCACCCGCGAGCGCTTCGCAAGCGGCTCGGGCGCGGCATGCGCGGGCGCGCTGCCTCCTGCCGGCAGCGGCGCTGCCAGGCGGCGACAGCGCCCGCGGCCTGTCGGCGGGCCAGGCGTCATGGGCACGCTGACCGTCGCACCCGCGATCGCCCACCGCCGCGGCAGGTCGCCAAAGGCCCCCCGTGGGGGCGCACTGGGGAGCCGAGGTGGCGACGGCGGCTGGCTGGCTCCTCTGGGGCTCGTGGAGGTCCTGAGGATCACGGATGTTAGGGGTCTCGGTGGTCTCGTTGAGGGCCTGCGGGGCTGTTCTGGGGCTCGTGCTTGCAGTATTTGAGGTACTGGTGGGGCCCAAGACTGTGTGCTTGTTCGTGCTCTCATCTGTGCCAAACTTGTCGTGCTTGCAGTTCTCCGTATCCACGTGCTTGCAGTAGTGCATCGTCTTGGTGCGTGCATTATCTGACTCATGTACATGTTGGGGTAGCCTACGATTCACTGGTATCTTGCCGTAGTCCTCAGAAGCTTCCCAAGAGTGCACCAGGGTCTTATTGGGGTCGTAGCTCGGGTCGCACAGCCTAGAGCCTTCGTCACTCGGGTTGAGCTCGCTCGGAACCCATCTCACGCGCAGGCGCTTGTTGAGGGAGAGGCACAGGGCGACAGCCCGACGGATGCATGAGAGGACAGTAAAATGTTTTGCTCTCCTCCTCTCGAAGCACAGCACTGCTGGCAAGTTGTCACTCATGACGACGACATGCTCGCCCTCTCGCGGTGACAGGCTGCACAATCTCTACAGCTCGCAAGAAGGCACGTGACTCGTAGACCAAGATGTCTTCCGTAGTATTCAGCCACCCGCGGGCGACTATCTCTGTCCAGCGGGACCCTGAGAAGATCTCCGCTGCCATCTCCTTGCAAGTTCTGTCAAGCCCCCATTGAGTCTGGGGCGCAACCTCCTCATGCTCATCAAGATCGGTCGCATCTTTGAACGTCCCCTCGCTGGTCATCACGATGCCGTTGCTGGCGAAGAAATGGGCCCGAGCGGAATGGCCGCCCAGGCGACGGAAGCGGGATCGCTCCTGCACCCGCCCGATCTCCTTCACGGCGGCCGACTCGAACAACGAGGCGCTCACCGCGTAGCCATGCTCCGACGCGTCGGAGAGGCAGACCAGCGGGCACCACGGGATCGCCCAGTCACCGCGCAGCAGAGACATCAGGCCCCGGAAGGCGACCATCTCGGCCCGCGCTGTGGGCCAGAGCGGCGCAGACTCCTGGTAGTGTGCCGCTATGAACGTGTACATCGCGTTGAAGATCGAGAGAAGGTCGCGATTGCACGTGGCGCAGTAGGTGCAGTGGTCAAGGACGATCTCCCACGTCCAGCCTGGCAGGGCTCTGCAGCCCAGAGCCCAAGACACACCTTGCCGCACCCGCCAGTAGCGTTTGGCCGTGAGCCTGGTGGTCAGCGCGGCTCCATCCAGCACACAGCCCAGCGTCACGCCGCGGCCCCTCTGGATGTCCGTCTCGTGCGTCCGCAGACCCGCGGCGTCGAACCTCGCGGTGGCGGCGGCGAGGCTCGAGGACACCCCTGCACCGTCAAAGCCCCTTTCTCCGAGGTTGTCGACGCACGTGCACTGAGCGCCTCCTCCCTCGGCCAGCTGGGCCGACGGCCGAAGCGCTGTCGTAGGGCCCCGGTCGCTCATGCGGTGGGCCCGCTCCAGTCCGGGCGTGGCGTCCACGACGGCCTCGCCCACCTCCTGGCAGAAGTAGAGCGACCAGGTAAACCCCATCGGCAGGGCGGCGCAGGCTGGCACCAAGCGGCGGTCGGGCGGCGCGGCGCCGTCCCCGATGTTCTTGCCGGTCACCCCGATCTCCTGCGCGGTCACGGAGCGGAGACAGAAATAGGAAGAGAGCCCTCGATCGATCCTGAAACGGTGGAAGGCGTCGCTGATGTCGGAGGTGCCCAGCGTGAAACCGAGGTCCGACTGGCCAAAGGACTCGACGCCCTCCACCTCGATGCGGGCGAGGCCCTCGGCCGTCACGAGCGACGCCCCAGGGGGCGAGGTGAAGTGTAGGTTGCTGCGCCGAGCGTCTATGATGAGACGCAGCTGGTCTGACTTTTTGGTGACGAAAAAAATCCCGACGTCCTCCCGCCGCTCACTCTCGCCCAGGAGCACCAGAAGGCCCTTGGCGTAGAGGAGCTTCACCAGGCGGACGTAGAGCCTGCGGTTGCGAGCCAGGGAGGGGTCCCAGTGAGGAATGACATCACACTCATCAAGTCGGCAACGTAAACTAGCCTCATCTAGAAGCCTCTGAGAAAAACCGCCTTCGAGATACTGGCGCGCATGGGCAGGAGCGATGTCTAACAGCCGTGGCCCTCCCACCGCGGTCTTAAGTAAAGATGTCTGCCCCACATTGCGAAGACGTCCGACGTTCCGTCCGGCCGACTCGTCATAGACACTGCGGCCGTGCAGCAGCTCAGAAAAGGCCGCTCGCGGGGAAGGGATCGCGGTCTTCACTGGCGGCATACATTCAGCCACGCATTCCAGGATCCTCGCGTGCACCTTCATCTGGTCAAAATTCGGCTTGTCGCCTGTGGAGGTGCGGTTCATCAACCAATTCAAAGCGTCGACGACCTCGTCGAAGTCCCGGCAGGCCCGCCTGGCGAGCCGACGAGGTCCTGGAGCTGCGGCCAGTCCCTCTCATGGTCGCTCAGCTTCGGCAGGGGGAACACCGATAGCAGGCTCACCCCGACTTCGCGACTGGGCTGTGCGCTACCGGCGGGGCGCCCAACTCCGCCGGCGGGGGCAGTCATGCCCCCTCGGGCGCGGTGAGCTTCCCACCGCGCCCGGCCGCCCCACGTCCGCCGCCGCCCCCAGGAGCGCCGCGACCTTGCCCGTCAGCGCCGCGGCCTCGGCCGTCGCGGCGGCCCCGGCCGCGCCCGTCGGCGCCGCCGGAGGGCCCGCTCGGGAGCCCCTGGCCGGCCTCCAGCGCCAGGGGGCTGGGCACGGGGAGCCCGGCAGCCCGGCTCTTCCAGTTCTCCAGCTCCATATCCTCCTTGTTGCGGCGGAAGACTGCGGTCCTCAAGGCTGGGTCAATAACGCCCATCGGGCCTGCCACGCCCATGTAGTGCCGCAGCCCGCCCCACTTCGGGGGCTTGTTGGGGTCGCCCGAGCAGGCCTCGACGATCTGCGACACCCGACGGCGCAACACCTCAATGCTGGCCATGCTGGGCAAATTGACCTGGTCGTAGCTTCCCGCATAGAAGATCGCCGTGAGCAGGCACTTCATCTCGATGTAGCTGCGGTCCGTCTGGCTCAGCAGCCGGTCCCGCGCCCGCAGGTCCAGCCAGAGCAAGGGGGGGCCGCCGTTCTGCTCCCGGCGCTTCACCGTGTGCTCCACCGTGCTGAGGCCGTCCTCGAGTGGCCAGTCCTTGAACGTGTACTTCCTGATCTCGCGGACAACCTCGCGCCACGGCTTGTGGCGGTCCCCTTGCTCGTCGTGCTGAACCCACAGCGTCCTCGCGTCGTCGACCGAGTCCGCCTCGCGCGCCCCCTCCGGGGGGGGCACCCCCAGCCTGTCTCTCAGGTCCTGGTCGTCAGCGCTGGGGCCCGCGGCCTCGGCAGCTCCGCGCGAGGAGTCTGCCTCGCCACCAGGTGGCAAGGCCGGCGGCGGCAGCGGAGGTCCCCTGGCGCGGGCGTCGGCGGGCAGGTCCCTCTCGACCAGCCCAAGCAGCTCCCTCGGGCGCCTGCCCCTGAAGGAGTCCACCGCGCCGACGGGGACCGCCTCCACGAGCTGCCAGGAGCCGGCCCCCCTCACCATCGCGGGGTCGTCGTCCAGCCTGACGCCGACAGCCCCCAGCACCACCTCAACTCCCAAGCGAAGGGGGCCGGGCGAGTTGACCAGCCAGCAGCATCCATCAGGCGGCTCGAGCGCTGGTGGGGCGGGAACGACTGCCTCTTCAGCGCCCGCCGAGGGCGAAGCGCCACCAGGAGGGGTGTCGGTCCCCCCGACGGCGTCCCTGGCCCCCCGCAGCGGAAGGCGACGTCGTAGGAGCCCGAACGGGCGAGAGACCCCCTCCCAGGTGTAGACCTCCGCGGGGTCATCCAGGGGCTCGTCACCGGCGTGCTCCTACTGGTCGGTCCTCGACCTGAGCACCTCGCTGCGCAGCTCTTCCCAGGTCAGCGGCTGCGCAAACCGGTGGAAGGAGCCGTGGGCCAAGGCGGGCGCTGCGCCGTCCAGCGCGACGACGAAGGCCCTATTGCAGCCGTCGCCGACGGACCCCGACACGTCCTCGACGTACCGATCGGCGTCTGGCGTCAGCACCCACCAGTATGTGCCCCCCGCAGGGTAGAGCAGCACTCGCTCGTGCCACACCGTGTCGCGCGGGTGCCACAGCCCGACCCGTCGTCCTGGCCGGAGCTCACTGCACCACGCCCCCACCTCGACGAGAGTGCCGTCCGCGGCCAGGGTCGTCCGCCCGCGGCGGCGGCGGGGGAGCGGGGCGATCATCGCGACGGGCTCGGGCCACCGCGCAGCAGCACACCAAGATCACTCCCTCCCCGCAAGCAATCCCCCCCGTCAGGAGGAAGGCGAAGAGACGGCCTTCGCCCAAGGCTGGGCCTGCCTCGGGCACGGGCGGCGCCGCGCGGGCCTCTCCAGGCCCCAGGGGCGGCAGCCGCTCCAGCAGCGCCGCGGCCACCTCGGCGGCCGAGGGACAGGTGGCTGGCGCAGGCGAGGAGTTCGCCACCAGCCAGGGCCCGAGCTCCTGCGCCACAGCCGCGGCCACCGCGCCGGCGCTCGGCGCTGGCGGTGGCGGCGGCGGCGGCGGCGGCGAGGGCGGGGGCCACTGCGGCGCGTGGCACACGCAGGACGGGCAGCTGGTCGAGGCGGCCACCAGCGCCGCCAGCCAGCTCGCCGCCCAGCGCAGCCCGGCCCAGGCAGCCGGCGCCCCCACCGCGGCACTCACCGCGAGTGTGGCGGCGCCGCCAGGGTCCATGGCCCAGCCCCGCTCATGCACTTGAGAAAAATCAAAAGCCATGGAGCGGCCCAGACAATAACGTGCAAGCACTCCTATGAAGGTTTTTGCCTTCCTCGCCTTTTCGCCTTTCCGACGCTCCAAGACGACCTGAGAGGCTCCCAAGACCACCCCAAAACGGCCCAAGAGGCCCCCAAGAGAGCCCCAAGACCGCCCAAGAGGGCCCCAAGACAGCCTAAAAGGCGCCCAAGAGGGCCCCAAGAGGGCCCCAAGAGAGGCCCAAAAATGGAGACCACCAACCGAGAATCCGAGCCTTCCGCTCCAAGAGGCCTCCAGGACGCCCCAAGAGGCCCCAAGAGGCGCCAAGAGGCCCGAAAGAGACCCCAAAAGGCCCCAAAACGGAGCCCCAAGAGGCAAAACTCAGTGATTTCCATTAGGTTTCTGAAGGTTTTTGGCTTCCTCGCCTTTTCGCGTTTCCGACGCTCCAAGACGTCCCAAGAGGCCCCCAAGAAGCCCCCAAGACCACCCCAAGACGGCCCAAAAGGCCCCCAAGAGAGCCCCAAGACCGCCTAAAAGGGCTTCAAGACAGCCCAAAAGGCTCCCAAGACGGCCCAAGAAGGCCAAAAGAGAAACCCAAGAAGGAGGCCACGAAACGAAAATCCGAGCCTTCCGCTCCAAGAGGCGTCCAGGACGCCCCAAGAGGCCCCCAAGAGGCCCCAAGAGGCGCCAAGAGGCCCGAAAGAGACCCCAAAACGCTCCAAAACGGAGCTCCAAGAGGCACAAATCAGTGATTTTCTTAGGTTTTTGAAGGTACTTGGCTTCCTCGCCTTTTCGCCTTTCCGACGCTCCAAGACGACCTGAGAGGCCCCCAAGAGCGCCCCAAGACGGCCCAAGAGGCCTCCAAGAAGGCCCCAAGACGGCCCAAGAAGGCCCCGAGACGGCCCAAGAGGCACCAAAACGGCCCAAGAGAGCCCCAAGACGGCCCCAAGAGGGGCCAAGAGAGGGACCACGAACCGAAAACTGTAGCTTTCTGCCCCAAGAGGGCCCCAGGACGCCCCGGGAGGCCCCCAAGAGGCCCAAGATGCCGCCAAGAGGCTCCCAGGAGGCCCCAGAAAGCTCTCAGGCGCCTCCGAACGGCCTCAGACGATCCCAAAAGGCCTCCCAAACGGCACCTCCTCCTTCTCGCCTCCTCCACCTCGCACCCTGAAGCTCCGCAATCCCCGCCCAAAGCCTCCGTAAGCTGTTTCGCGGGGGCAGCTTCAACACCACCATCCCGAACGCAACGCCTCAGAAAAAAAACATGCGCCGACCCCTGCAGCTCCGCACTGCCGACGACCTCTCGCCCAATCGACCGCGGTGCCTCATCATGGGCCGGCGGAATGAGCGAAGCGATTAAATTGAAATAGCATCAACATCGGCATCACCATCAACACCATCATCGTCGTCATCATCATACTACGCATCATCACCAGCATTATCATCATCAACATCATCAACACTCATCATCACCATCATCATCACCATCATCATCGTCATCATCATCACCATCATCGTCATCACCCCTTCCACCCCTCACCCACCAAACTCAATATCCTCATTGTCCTCCTCTGTCCGCGCATCTTCGTCACCCCCGTCCCTCCCCGTACTCATCTTCCTCTGCTTCCTCCTCCTCATCCTCCTCCTCGTCCCTCTCCTCACCATCGTCCTCCTCCTCCTCGCTCACCTCCTCCACCTCGTTGAGAGCCCACGCGGTGTTTGACCGCTGACGCTTTGCTGGCACGAGGGCGCCACAATCTACGAATCCCCATCGCCCTGCCTCGTCACACGGCTTCGCTCCGCCCTCGCCCTGATACCGCAGAAACGCCAAAGGCCACGAGCAACCGTGTCGTCACAATGCTTGGCCCCCACCACCGCCCCGCTGCCGAGGGTGCCAAAAGCCACGAACAACCGAATCGCAGCGACGTTCCGTCACAAGGCTTCGTTCCCACCGCCGCCCCAGTGCAGCGAGGGCGCCACAAACCACGAGCAACCGAATCGCAGCGACGTTCCATCACAAAGCTTCGCCCCCGCCGCCGCCCCAATGCCGCGAAGTGCCAAAAGCCAGGAGCAACCGACTCGCAATGGTGTCCCGTCACAAAGCTTCGCCCCCACCGCCGCCCCACTGCCGCGAGAGCGCCACAAACCACGAACGACCGAATCGCACCGATGTTCCGTCACAAAGCTTCGCCCCCACCGCCGCCAAACTGCCGCGAGGGCGCCACAAACCACGAACGACCGAATCGCAACGATGTTCCGTCACAAAACTTCGCCCCCACCGCCGCCAAACTGCCGCGAGGGCGCCACAAACCACGAACGACCGAATCGCAACGATGTTCCGTCACAAAACTTCGCCCCCACCGCCGCCAAACTACCGCGAAATGCCAAAAACCACGAACGACCGAATCGCACCGATGTTCCGTCACAAAGCTTCGCCCCCACCGCAGCGCCACTGCCGCGAGAGTGCCAAGCGCCACGAACAACCGAATCGCAACGATGTTCAGTCACAGGGCTTCGCCCCCGCCGCCGCCCCGCTGCCACGAGGCACCAAAGGTCCCGAGCAACCGACCCCCCGTCCCTCGAAAACGACAAGGCAGAGCCCGAGGAGGGAGGAGGAGGAGCAAGGAAAACGAGTAGTGCTAGATGAGGGGACGTGACAAATAACAACAGTAGCACAACGATTCGGAGTGTTAGCTGGAATAGTGTTTGAAACACGAATGTGATGTAGTGGGCCATACACACATGCGTGAATAACTGATGCAAATCTGCCACTGAGAATTGTAAGCGTGATATCGGATAATGGCCGTAATAGTGGTAGCCTAAGAAAAGTCGACTTGCACATGCACCACGTATCTATCGACACAAGAGTAGTGTGATACAAGACTTGCCGTAGGTGCTTGAGAAGGAACGCCCATTCACTAAACAAAGGTTCAAACCAAAGGCCAATCCAGGGGCCAGTATACGGGCCGATCTAGGGGCGAAACTAAGGGACAAAGTAAGGGCGAACCTATGGGTTGAGATAATTTCTGTTCGCAATGAAATGTCCACCCCACTGCTCGCGCAAACATCCCACCCACCAACCCGCAACTTGGTTTGCAAAATCTCTTAAGACCGTGACAGTGGGTACCAAATGGCACTTGGCAACGACAGCGACGCCGACGACGACAGCGACAACGACGACGACGACGCCGCCGACAACGACTATGACGATACCGACGACGTCTCCAACGACTTCGACGACGCCGACAACGACGACGACGACGACGACGACACCGACGACGACGACGATGCCGACGCCGACGACGACGACGACGACAACGAAGACGATGACGACGCCGACGACGACGACAACGACGACACCGACGACGACGACGACGACGTCAACGACGCCGACGACGACGACGACGACGACGACGGCGGCGACGACGACGACGCCGACGTCGACGACGACGAAGACGACGACGACGCCGACGCCAACGACGACGACGACGAAGACGAAGACGAGACGACGACGACGTCGCCAACGAAGACGACGACGAGGGAGGAGGGAGGACGACGACGGCGACAACGACGACAACGACAACGACGAGGGAGGAGGGAGGACGGCGACGACGCGAACGACGAAGAAGGAGGAAGGACGGCGACGCCAACGACGACAACGACGAGGGAGGAGGGAAGACGACGACGACGACTACAACGACGACGACAACGACGACGGCGACGGCGACGAAATAGGAGGGACGACGACGAGACGCCGACGACGGACGACGACGACGACGGAAACGACCACGGCGCCAAGGAGGACGACGACGACGAACACGAGGAAAGACAGAGGACGACGTAGGCGACGACGACGACGACGACGCGGGAGGAGGGAGGACGGCGACGACGACGACGACGACGACGACGCAAGAGCGCGCGCGCAGCACGCTTTTGTTGAAAATCCGTGTTGCGAAACCTTGTGTTTTTGTACGTGTGTGAACACACGATTTTGAAATCCTTCTGAAACCGATGGGTTTTGAAGGATTTCGGCATACGCACGCGACGACGCGCGCGTCTGCACTTCGTCCCGTTTTGTGCAGAGGATTCTCGCGACGGCACACGCGCAAGGGCGTTCGACAGATTTCGACATGCGCGCGCGAAAAGCCCGTTTGGTAGCATGTTGTGAAAATCTTGAAAACCTATGATTTTCTTAAGATTTCGCAAGAGCTCGCGCGTAAGCTTATTAGCAAATCAGTATTGCGAAACCCTGTGTGTTTGTATGTTTTTTTGGAAACTCGATTGCGGAATTCTTCCGGCACCGAAGGTTTTTGGAGGATTTCGGCATGCGCGCGCGACGGCGCGCGCGTGCACTTCGTCCCATGTTTTGCAAGGGATTCGCGATAAAGTCTCATGTTAGAACCAGAACTGCCCCCGCGCATTGTTATCAGGGAACCTCAGGGGAACCGACACCGGCCCCCCTGGGATACTGTAAATTCGCATTTAGGATGGACATGTGGCCATAATCACATATGATTTACGTACCCGAAATGGGGGCGGATAACGCCGGGGGGGGGGGGAGAGTCTATTTCTTTTCAGAAAGGAGAATTAAGATCTGCGCTCCTAAAGGCTGGTTCACAGATTGGACCAGAACTTAGTTTTCTACGGGCTCCAGATGCTCAGGGTTTGTCCGAGGAAGTCATAGGCGAAATCGCCAAAGAAATTCTCAGGTTGCTGTGAAAAGCGACCGCAGACTTTTCTGTTGGAGGAAATATTGGGCGGAATCGCGATTCTCTGGTCCTCACACTATTTGGCGATTCTCACATCAGAAGCGAGGATGGAGGAACCGGAGAATCGCGATCCCGCCGAGTACTTCCTCCAAAAAACACTCTCCAGTCACCTTCTTGAGCGACCGAATCGAATCCCTGGGCTGGTCTCTGCAACATTGTACCCGGGCCCCAGGGCCTAACGGGATCATCGTCGCACATGATGCGCGACCTCTCCGGTCGCACTTTTTAATCCAGCAGGTTGTGCGCTGGACGCGGACGCTCGGAATGACAGTCCGAGTTCACCATCTTTGGGCCCTCTTGGGCTCCTCTTCGGGCCGTCTCGGGGGCCTCTTTTTTTCAGTGGCTCTCACTTCGCCCAACCAGTCCGGGAAAGGACGGGCTGTGGGAAAACAAAACCACTGGGGGCAAAATCTTGATTACGAGCCGGGTTCCGCCGCGGGCCCAAGGAGGCGAAACATGCTGGCACGTAGGCCAGGTGAGTTTGCCCGAAAAAAGCGGGCGACGCTGCTGGACATGAGCTCTTGTTACAGGGCCCCCGAGGTTCCGAGGCTGCCCTGACGCACAAGCCCCCCCATGTGATACAGAAGCAATATGTAAGTGCGGTTCGACCACCTTGCAAGCATAAGCCTGCGTGGTGAACCTAACCTTAACATCACTCGTCGCAGGCGCCGCAAGCCCGAATGCAATTTATTGGAGCCGCAACCCTGGCAGAGGGTAATTGTGTGCACGGACCAGGCCGCGAAGCGCGGTGCGCAGTAAGCTTCTTGCCCGAGCCACTGCCCCGTCGGCCTTTCAAAATGCGAGAGCTACGGGGTGGAGTCCCAGATCGCGGTCCAGGGCGCAGGTGGGTCAGAGAGAACGGCAGTGGCGTCCGACCACACAGGCCGAGTCAGAGAATCAGCACCTGCAGAGCGCGACCCAGGAAAGGGTACATTCAGGAGGAGGAGGAGGAGGAGGAGGAGGAGAAGAAGCCTTCCACCAGAAGCCCAGCCCTGAGAGCCCATGACGTCCCTCGACTCTTGGTGTGGGGATGTCGCGCTTTCCACGGCAAAACCAGCGAAGCCCAAGAAACCCAGGGCACCCTGGAGGCAAGCAGGGTGCTTCCTGGCACGGGCCTACACTGTGCAGAAGGCGACGGAGGAGCGGGTGCATGGGCACCCGCGCGGAAAAATCTCCCCTTGCGGCGTCGTGCGCGGTGTGGCGCGGGGGCTTCGCCGCCTGCGCCCCCGTGGCCGGAAAGCACATTAGAGCAGACAGCGAGCGCGGGAGTCACCAATGTTCGTGAGGGCCCTGGCTCTAAGCATCGATTTTGCCCTTGTTCCATACGCCTTCGACGACAGTGACTCCAGCTGGCAGGTAGAAGCAGGTTCGTAATGCAACGTTTCCTACCATCTCGGGTGTTATTCGTGTGCCCAGCAACTCTACACCCAGCGTTCTTTCTCTGATGTAGAGCGACAACTGGCGGAAAGCATCCCAGTGTTCTTCATCCTTCTTCTTTTGTTCTTCATCCTTCTTCTTTTCTTCGTCGAACTTGTGCGCAACCATTTTCTGAATCAATACTGCCGCAAGGTGACGTGATCCAGGCCTTGTGTTTCTGCACTTCTGGCTGACGAATGCTAAACGGGCTAAAATAGCACAGCCACAAATCGCTGACATCAGACCGCAAAGTATTGCGCCCTTCCTAGTAGTTTTACTGTTGTGGACAATTCCGACAGAACCGAATCCCGCTGCGAGAAAGAAGAGCATTGAGACACGAACGACTATCAATTTCCCGAGGCAACTCCACTGGAAGGTGTCCGCCAGCAAGTAATCGGTCGCCTTTAATTTGCTCAGCACCCTTTCCCAACAGATGTTCTCGGTTCTCATGTTGTCCATCTCCTTAACGACCCCATCGATAATTCCTTCTATGGCTCGTGTTCCGATCTCTTCCACCCTGGAAGGTCCAATGAAGAGCATATTGATGGACCAAGTGAAGATGCTGACCTCAGTCCAAAAGCGAATGTGTATTTTCTTCTCTATGTCATTTCCGTACAATCGGGGCAACCAAATTAGTACGGGCGCAAGCATACCCAATACGAAAGTAACCGGCCAAAGAACATAGGCGAGGAACATGTTCGCATTACCAGGATTCAGGTCAACTTCGTAGCGGTGTGCAACGCTTAGCGTCCGCTCCAACTGAACGTGCCTATGTCTCGTCAGCATGGGGAGGATCACGCCAAGCGCGAAGTAAATGCACCCCGCAGCGCCATCTTCCAACCACTCCAGAAACTTAGGCTTGTCCTCATATTCTGGCAGTGCGAAGTACCTTGGGTTCCAGCCCTCCGGAACCAGCAGCCCGTGGATCAAGAAGGACGCTGAGAACATGCTGCTCAAAGCTACAACCATGACTCGTCCATAATTGCTGAAGCGCGTGCTGGTGTTGAACTCCGTCAACTTCTTGACCTCGAACGCGTCGAATACGTCAAAACCATTAATTGTGGCAATGTTCTCCGCATGGTCCTGACTCGATCGATCGTCGTCTGAGCCGTCTGAACTTGAAACTTGTTCTGCAAATGACCTGGTTGTGACCGGTGAATCATGCAATTGTAGTTGGAATTCGTCGTCTGAGCCGTCTGAACTTGAAACTTGTTCTGCAAATGACCTGGTTGTGACCGGTGAATCATGCAATTGTAGTTGGAATACGGTACCGTGACGTCGGTCCAACTCACCGGTTGTCGAACGTCGACGTACTGAACCCGGCGAGGCGCTGCCGGTCCCTATTTCGGTCATGATTCAGCACGGGCACTATGTTACAGACAGAGGCGGGGGTGAGGGTAATGTCGCGTTCTGTCCCCGTGGACGACTCCAGCCAAAATGGTTACGGACCATCTGGGGGGCCTCTTGGGGGCCTCTTGGGCCGTCTTGTGGCCCTCTTGGGCCGTCTTGCGGGCCTCTTTGGGGCATGTTGGGCCGTCTTGGGGCGATCGCGGGGTCCATTGGGGCCGTCCTGGAGCTTCGGTCGCCCGAAAAGGCGAGAACGCTGAAACCACTAAAAAACCTTTTGGAGGAGCACTGATGGTTGCCTCTTCCTCTCTGGGGAGGCCTCCTGGAGCCCTCTTGGAGCGCCTGGTAGGGCTCTCGGGCCGTCTTGGAGCCATCTTCGGCTCTGGGGGGCCCTTGGCTGGAGGGTGGTCGACTACACGCAAGAGTGACCCTCGGTACGAGTGACCTTTGGTGCGCGTCTTCCTGAGGGCCGCGGGGGGGCCGAACACGAGCGCGCAAGACGCCACCACCGCACTGTGATCGGGGGGCCCCAGTGGGCGCGCACCAGAGGTCACTCAGGCGAAGGGTGACACTTTCGTGTAGTCGACCATCGCACAAGGCCCGAGTGGCGCCCGCGGGAGAACGAACTGCCGGCCCAACAGCGACCGGAGCTGACCTCGCCAGCACCACGCGCGCAAGGCGCGGGCCCTGCGCCGCCCCGTGGCGGGTGGGGGCAGCGGCCAGCCGCGGGGGCCGGGGCGAGGGCGCCAAAGCGAAGACAGCGGCGGAGGAAGCAGCGGAGGGAGGAGTCGGGAGGGAGGAGGGAGGACTCGAGTAGGGGGTCGACTGCAGAATTGATTTACCCCAGGAGTACTTTTCTCGCCGAAGAAATGCCCGAGGAAAATGTAGAGCATTCCCTGCTCTGAGGACGAGCGGGAGGGGGAGTAGGAGCGAGGACAGTGACAGGGACGTGGCTGGCGACGAGGACGACAGTGACCAGGGCGCTGACGATGATAAGGAGAGTGGGACAAGGATCTTGAGGGGCAGGTGGCTTAGGATGTGAAGGAGGTGGGCGAGGAGAAAGCGGATGAACATGTGATATCGCATTCGCAAGGGGGAACGTAAGCTCCTGAGGGGGAAGGAGGGGGAGGAGGGGGAAGCGCGGGGCGGGGAGGGTGGAGGAGCAGGAGCTGCAGGAGAAAAGGGAAAATAGCAGGAGGCCTGTGGAGAAAGAGGATGAGGCAGATAATGAGGACGTGAATGAGAATGAGGTGGAATTCGGGCGACTCTCACTACAAACTAAGCTGCCCCTTCCCCCCATCAGTAGATTGCTGCTCCCAAGCCCCATCACCACCAACACCCACAGCACACACGAGGTGCTCCTGTTGCAACAGGCGGCGGCTCTTGAATGTGCACCACTGGTCCCCTCCTGCTCGTTTTTACTATTATGGTTACTGTTATCACGGCAAACGGACCCCCAAACAGCATGTGCTACCACCACGTCGTCCCGCGCAAAAGGAGCCAACACGGCGGCGGCCACGTCGTTCCTCACAATCGGAACCAACACGGCGGCGGCAGCTGCGGACTACCCTACAGCGCCAGCGCCACCTGGAATCGAACTCATGGGAAGGGAAACCGCGGTTCCCAACAGAACATGTGTCCTGCGAGTGGCCGAAATCCGGGGCGGAAATTCGGGCAATTAAAAGCCAAAGGCGTTATGACAGTTTTTTGTTTGCCCCATTCTCTGGAGCAAAACAAAAAAAGGATACGAAGTACCCCCAAATCGTATCGGCGAAACTGAGTGGAAAGGGAGGGGGGGAGGAGGCGGAGGAGGAGGGAGGCACAAAGGCACACGCTGGAATATAGCCCAAACTCAAGGTAACCTACACGCCGCATTGCCGGCGAAGGGTTACGCATCGCGTAACACCCCAGGACATCATCCGCCGTCACAGACGGCGGCCAAGCACAAACGGGCAGCCAAATCTTAGATCAAACAGTACCCCACTTGCAGCCCTTATGGCCGCCCAGCCAGAGCCGGGGGAAGAAAAAGCGGCCACAATCCACAGGAGGAGGAAGAGGAAAGAGGACACGACCAACGACAACAGCAAAGAGGAGAGGAGGAGGGGGCGACTGCGCGCTCGCACCGCGCGTGGCACTCAGCGGACTCGCCGTCCTGTCGGCCAGCACTGCCAAAGCGACAACACGCTGCCCCGGGGGGGGGGAGGAAGCGGAGACGAGGGAGAAAGTGCGCTCCTGCCGAGCGTCCTGGGCATTGACGGCCGCAAGTGCCCCGCTGTTCAAGCTGCCCCGCGTGCGCACGCAGGCCGCCGCCTCGGACGCCCCCACCGCAGGGAGGCCACAAACCCGAGGGAGGCAACGGACCGCCCCCAGACGACGGCGACGACGGCGACGGCGACGGGAGAGGAGGGAAGGAGGAAGGAAACCGCAACAGCAGCAGCAGCAGCAAGAGGAGGAGAGGGGAGGAGAGGGAAGGAGGGGGGAGAGAAACGATCCCCGGCCCCCCCGGGCGCGGGCCCCCCCGGGGGGGGCGGAGGGCGGTCAAGTCGTGCCCTTCCCCGCTGGAACTCTGACCGGCTCCACAAAACGACACTGCGACAGGACAGAAGCGATGCACCACTGGAATTCTAAGGAGAGGCCCCGCACGGGAGAAAACAAACGAACAAGAAACAAACGAGAGGAGGCGGAGGAGGAGGAGGAGGAAAAGGAGGGGCAAACATTTGGTGAACGCGCGCGGCGGGCGCCTCATGGACCGAGGGCCCAATAGACCACGTACACGATGAAGTGAACGAGGGCCTAGGCGGCCACGAACACAGCAATGCGCCGGTCGCCGCTCCATCCGTTGCCGAAATAGCCATTGACACCACTGCGGCGCAGGTGGTGCAACCAGCCATTGGCCCACAGCCGCACGAACAAATAGTGGCCTACCTCACAGAGAGAAGACGCCCATGCACAATGCATGCTGAAGTTCGAGCCGCCCGCTACCGAGCCCATGTGTCAGCAAGCGCTCGTCGTAGTTCAAGGTGTCTGGCGGCCGCGTCGCGCGAGAATTGCGCGAGCGCCTCTGCCGCGTTGCCGGTGCCTCCGTGACGCTTGGCACAACTAGCCGAATGAGCAGCATAGAGCAGCAGTGCTCGCTTGGAAGACTCGGCGGCAGTGTGCGAGCTGTGCGGAACATGGAGCACCAAGATGGTGTCGAGGCGGTCCGCGACCGAAGCACGCGGAAGGCCGAGCGTCCTCCTGGCAAAATCCATCACGACTGGACATACCGCGCAGCATTTCAGGGAGTCCCGGCGGTGGCCGCATCCGAAAATGCAAGCGCCAGCTTCGCCGAGTCGACTTATGGTGACCCAGCCATTGCAGAGCGCGCGGAACGTGGCAAACCTAAACCTGGGAGGGAGGTCCCGGGCAAGACCACGCAGAAGCCGAACTGCGCGATCAATCCGGCGCCCATGCAGGAGGAGGAGTGGGAAATGGCCCATGTGCCGACGGAGTTGGCGAATAACCAAGTCCTGCGCATCGGGCCCCAAATGGAGTTGCGCCGTCTTCCGCCAATCCTCCCGCTCAACTTCGCGAGGCGAGCTCCCCTGAAGCAGCGCGGGGGCGCCGAGGGATCTGCTCCGCGCGGCCCGTCGCAGCATCGCGCGTGCGGGCCAGGTTGGCGAGGACGTTGGCGACGATCCAGTCCCGCCAGCGAGCTCAGCGATGCAGACAGGAGCTGTCCGAGACAATGCGTTCCAATTCCCTGCGGCGGCGCGCTACGTCCAATCCCCCCTGGTCCGCGTTCTCCCAATGAACAACCTGGCACTTCGCGGCGCTGGCGATGTCGCACAGGTTGGGGACTTCCGCCCGAAAGCCCAGCACCCGGAGATTGCGGGGCATGCACGGGGAAGCCCAGCACCAAGGACCTCGGAAGAGTGTCTTGCATACGTCGCGCTCAATGTCGCCCCAAGCACTGGGGAGGTTCAGAGGCTGCATGAGAAAGGCGAGGACCGGGGCGATGTAGATCCGATAAGCGGCAACGGTTTTGGAGGGGCCGCATCCGACCCGCCGCCGCAGCAGGGCGCGCTCCTGGAATTCGGCGACCGCCTTCACCCAGGAGCGGCCTCCCTGGTTCGGCCCCATGCCGAAGCCAAGGTAGGTAGCACGCTGCTGGATGGAGAAACCGCACCACTTGCGGACCTGCTGCTGGAGGTCGCTCCGGACGGCCGCCTCGCCCTGCAGGGCGAGGGGGGCCCAGGCGAATCTCCCGCGGTGGAACTGAGGGCCAGAGATGGCGCGGCATGATGTGAAGATGCTCTCCAGGATGCGCGCCTCCACGAGGGCGCTCGGGAGCGCGACGGCGGCGTCGTCCGCGCATGCCCGGGGCGTGATCACCAGAGCCATGCGCGGAGCCCGCCGACTGAGGACGTCCGAGATAACCGCGAAGAGCAGCGGCGAGAACGGGCGGCCTTGCCGCGCCCCAGCAGACAGCGCAATACCGTCACAGCGTATACGGCGCATACCTCCAAGAGAGATGCTGCACGCACTGTTCCAATAAAGGCCAACCGCGAACGCGAATATCCAAGGGGGCCACCCTTCAGCCTTGAGGACGTCGCGCAAGAAGTCGCGCGAGACGCTCGGGAAGGCGGCCTCGAAGTCGAAGAACACCGCGGCAGCTGCATCGGAGGCGCACGCATGTCGCAACATCGCGGCCTCCACGTCGACGACGTTGGCAAGCGTCGACCGCCCCTTGATGAACCCCCGCTGCTCGCCGGCGATGCCTGGGGCGATCTGCGGCTCGATGCGCAAACAGACAGCGCTGCAGATGAGCCGGTTGTCGGCAGTCGCTGCGTTGAGTGGCCTGGCGTTGGCGGCGTCGTTCGCCAATGAGATGCTGTCCTCGGTCTCGCCAGAGCGATTCTCCAGCGGGACAACCAAGAGGCTGGAGTTGCAGTCGCGCCAATCCTGGTCGAGAGCCTCCAGCGCGTCGTCGGCGGCTGAGAAGGCGTCGCACAGGGCGGTAATCACAATGTCTCCCAGTTCGCGCCATGGCCGGAAAATAATGCCATCAGGGCCCGGCGCGCTATTCTCGGAGAAGCGCAAGGCTTTCT